TGCTCTGCGGACAAAAATTGGTATTTCTTTCCAAATTTTTTTCGTAAATGAAAATTCCACATTTTAAGCAAATTTTAGTGGAAAAAAATGACCATTGAAAAATGATTTCTGAAGAAATTTCAAAATAAACCAAAAAAAATTCTCTCTGAACGTACATTTTTGGAGCAAAGTTGCTATATGGACGAAAATTGGCCATTTTTTCACATTTTTTCTTCGTTTATTGAAAATCCCACATTTTGAAGAAATTCAGTGAAAAATGGTCATTGAAAAATTATTTTTGCGGGAAATTTTGAAAGAAAAGTTTCTGAAGCAAAGTTGCTCCATGGACAAAAATTGGTCATTTTTTTCTCTGTTTTTCGAAAAAAATATAGAATTTTCATGCTATTCCATTGTTTTTTTCATAAACCCGAGAAAAAAATCTATCACTTTATATTTAAAAAAATATGTTTTTTTAATCTTTAAAAAAAATCTGGTTCACTGGCCAGTTTTTTTCTGATTTTTTTCAAAAAAATTTGAATTCATTGTAGTTTTTTTGAGCTGGTTTTTGAGCCTAGGCACAATAAATGAAAAATAAAATAAGAATTTCAAATAAACGAATAAAATGTTCAAATTATAAATTAAATTTTTAATGTAAACATTGAAAAAAATTTGAAGAAAAATCAAAAAAATCAAGTTTATTTCACCAAGATTCGCGCAATCTTTGAAAAATAAACGTCGGATTGCTGTTTCGATGAGAGATTGGTAGTCGGTAATAATTTGACGATCGAACTCCTTTTTCGGGTAGATTAATTTGAAGAAATAATTGTGGATGACGTGGCGCCATTTCGGAGTGACTAGGATGCACACCGGGTAGGCGAAAATCGGGTAACTGGAAAAAGAATTTTTAAATGAGTAATTAATTTTTTTTTTTTTGATTTTAGAAATGCCTCTGGAAACGCCGGTGTGGTCACTAAAGGAGTTAGGAAAAAAGGAACCCTATAGTGGTCCCAAAAAAGTGCCCCCTGAAGGGCAGAAATTAGGTAGCCCCTGTAGGGATTCAGGGTCATGCCTCTATGACCTTAAAGTGGTCCCTTGATTTTTTTTTTGTTTTTGGAAGACCCTCAAGAAATGCCGGAGTCGTCACTAGAGGGGCTAGGAAAAAAGGAACCCTATAGTGGTCCCAAATAAGTGCCCTCTGAAGGGCAGAGATTTAGGTGGGCCCTGTAGGGATTTATTCGTGAGCCTCTAAAGCTTCAGTGGTCCCTATGAAGTCAAAAAGACCTAAAGGGACCACTTGCATGCCCCTTTCAAGTGGTAATTAACCAAGACCCCTAGAGTAGCCACTTCTGCAAGCTTTAGTGACCACTGATGGGAAATTAAGGTGGTCCCTTGAGGGGGAATTCACGAAAACCCCTCAGGTTGCCACTCTAGTGACCACTCTGACGGTCCTAAGATTCCTGAACTTTTTTTTGAACAGTATAACTTTTTTAGAAAGAGATAACCCTTTCTATATCGATTCTGTCGATTTCAGATTTTTCTCAATATTTTACTTGAAACAGAAAAGTCATCTTGGATTTTGGATTTTTTATAAATCTCATCTTTGTTTTAATAATCGGCAAAAGCTTCCAAAAGCTGAGTCATTGTTTAGCCATCGTCTTAATCAGCTTCTCTTTATTAATTTTCAATTTTCGGGCGCTGGTTCAATGAGCGGAAGGTTAGAAAGGTCGAGATTATCACGCTTTGGTGGATTTTTGTGGGCGAAATTTTGAAAAATAGGTGGGAAGTGGAAAATAATGACTAATGTGAGATGGAGAACATTTTATTGAAAAGTATGAAATCAAAAAAAAAATTTTAAACGTGCTGCGTTGAGCCATTCTCCTTGCGGCCAAGGAATTGAAAGTATTAAGAAATATTGATTTGAAATAAAAATGATTTTCCAGTTTTATTCTGTTTATTTAAAAAATTGAACTTTTTTCGCCTTGACAACGAATCCCACGGCCGCACGTAGAATGGCTCAGCTGCGCCCGACCAAAAACGACTTGCGCGTTTCGGGGAAATTTCGAATTATGTTGAAAACTTTGTGATTTTTCACAAAAATTATTGAAGTAAGAGTGAAAAAAGCCGATGTTGACTAACAAACTTTCAAAATAAAAATTTTTTTATAAACTCATCTTGAAACAGAAAAAGTCAGCTATGCCCGATTTTCGGCTGTTTATAGGAATTTGAGCGGTTCTCATTCATTTTTTTAAAAATAAAAAAACAGACTTTTTCTTGGTTTTTTTCATTTCTTCTCTGATGAATCATCTGAAAAGCTTCCAAAAGCTGAGTCATTGTTTAGCCATCGTCTTAATCAGCTTCTCTTTAGTAATTTTTTTAATTTTTTTGGGCGTTGGTTCAATGAGCGGAAGGTTAGAAAGGTCGAGATTATCACGCTTTGGTGAATTTTTTTGTGGGCTAAATATTGAAAAAAAATAGGTGGGAAAGTGGAAAAATAATGACTAATAGTAAATAGAGAATATTCAAATATGTTTAATGGAGACCAGTTTTTTTGATTAAACTTCGAAAATAAGGCATGGAAAATTTGAAAAAAATGCAGAAAAAAAAACTTTTATGAAGAGATTTTTACACTGTAAAAAAATTAGAATTTTTGAAAAAAACGAATATTTTTGGTTTTTTTTTAGATTTCCACATTCAATCCTGAGTCGATTTCAACAGTTCATTTAACTTTATTAGCTCCAAAAAAATTAAAATCTATTTTTTTAAGCGATTTGAGAAACACAAAAGTTCGATTTGACTTTTTGTTTTAAAAAAATTTTTCCATTTTTTCTTAAAAAAACTTTCAAAAAAATGATTTTTTTAATGCTTTTTAGGTTCTAAAAAAATAAAATACAAGGTACATGTCGCTTAAAAAAATAATATTTTTTTAATTGAGAAAAGGTTTTTCCAAATGAATTGAAATAGAAATTGTTGGTTTTGTATGAATTTTGAAAGTGTTCAGATGACAAAATTTATCAAAAAAAAATTTTTTTCAAATATTTGATGACTTGGATTTGTCACAAATCGGTTGTTTTCAATGATACTTCAAACTTCTCCGGATTAGAAAAAAAGGAAAAAAAATTACGTCGTTAAGCTTTTGCGTACACTTTTCTCATACAAAGAGAGAACAATGGAATTTTTTTCATTCATTTTTTTCAAAGAACATTTTTTTGATGATAAAGTGTACCTAGTACCTTATATTTTGATGACGGGAACATTTTGGGATGATGTTTCGAAATTACTAGAAAAAAAGGAAAAAAAATATCAGAAGGGCTTAAAAAAATGGGAAAAAAAGCTTAATTTTTTTCCGAAAAAAAATGTCCTTTGAGAGTAGTTTTCTAATGAAAACTTGACTATTGGATCTTTGAGAAAAATTCTTTTTCAAATAAATCCTGTCATTTGAAGGTGATTTTTGAAATGAAAGCTCGATTTTGAATATATGAAAAACCTTTGAAAAAAAGCTACTGTAATGACGAGATTTCCTAGAAAAAAAATTGAAAAAAATGCCTCAAATTGACATTAAAAAAACGTTAAGAAGATCCTTTTTTTAAAGTTTTTTTCATTTTTTTGAAGTGAATGCTTGTTATTGAGAAAAAAATTGCTCTCCCGTTTTTTTCTACGAATTCTATCTTCTAACCGATTAGCTTTCTCAACTTTTTCAGGTTTTTTTAAAAAAATGACTTGAAACGTATGAATTCCTTTGAAAGTTTCAAAAAAAGAATGAAATTTTTGAATTTTTTTAGTTTTTTTAAGTTTTTTTATAAGATAGAACTTAAAATGTACATATTAAAAAAATAGCCTGTGAAGCTAAAAAAAGCATGAAAATCCAGTACAATGAAACATTTTGAGCCTCTCAAAAGCTGAGAAGCTGAAAATTCAAGTTTTTTTCAACTTCTGTTCAATTTGTTAATGAAAAAAATGTACTTGGCGACCTCTAGATTTCAGAAAAAAATAGGAAGTCATCGATTTTTTTGACTTTTTAACTATAAGAATTTTATCGCTTCAAAACGTTCAAAAAAACGCTTTTTTTACGTAGTTTTTAAGCGTCAAAAATTGACTTCAAAACGGAATTTTTAAGGATTTTTTTCTTTTTTTATCATCTTCAGGAGGTCCTGAAATACATTTTAGCCAATTTTCATTGAAAATTTTGGAAAAAAAAGTCCCAAAAACATTTTTTGAGAAGTTTGGGTATTTTAGGCCTTCAGATTGGAGGTCGTTTTACTTTTCGGCTCCTGAAAATTGGCCAGGATACTCCTTGATGTACCAGAAGAAAATTCTGAAAGTCTCAATCTGCTGAACTTCCTAGTTTTCGAGAAATAACGGCTCAAAGCCTCAAAATGGCCGATTTTAACGGATTTTCAGTGTTTTCTTTGACTTTAAGGTGTCCTTTCTCAAAAACTAGGAAGTTTTGCAGATTGAGACTTCCAGAATCTTCTTTTGGAACTTCAAGGAGTATCCTGGCCAATCCAGGAAATTCCCAACCGCAGAGTTCAATGACCTTATTTGTGAGGATCGATCCAATCTTTAAAAAAAAATCAGTATACAGTAGCGAGAAGGCAACAAATGGTTTTCCAACGATAACTCCCCTGAAATTGATTGTTTTGAGCTGGAATTTCGCAGGATTGTATTAATCAGAGTGACCAACTATATTGCGAAAAATTATCATCCTACTCGGAGTCAAAGCTGAGAAAAACGCTTTTCAAAAAAAATCAGGAAATTCGAAAAATCGCATGTTTATTGTTGCACAGCAGTTTTTCGATTCCATGAATTTTTTTGAAAAGCGTTTTTCTCAGCCTTGACCCCGAGTAGTATGCTAATTTTTTGCAATATAGTTGGTCACTCTGATTAATACAATCCTGCGAAATTTCAGCTCAAACCAATCAATTTCAGGGGAGTTATCGCTAAAAAACCGTTTGTTGCCTCACCCATTCTTGCTACTGTAAATCTTTTCTAAAAAATCAAATTTTCCAGAAAAAGTTGAAAACTCACATGTAGACCAGTAGTTCTATAAGAAGATGATCGACAATATTCATTCCGGACGGCAAAAAGTTGACATAACCCAAAACGAAAGTGATCAAAATCAGAGCACCAACCAATCCAACGATGATTAGGACGTATTTGAAGGCCTGAATCTGGATTTTCGAATTTTTTTAAGCCTGATTTTTGTGTGGCTTCTCTGCGCTCTATCGTCTTTACTTACTCATTTCATTGTTCTCTAACACCGACGATGAGGGAAAAGAGGGCGCAGACAGGTCAGACTGTGCCAATCATACATTTCATGACGTCATCAAGCTATTTATATGACGTCACTGGATTTTTTTTCCGCGCAGATTTTTCATCACAGATGTTGTGATGACATCATTTCGAAATTTATGACGTCATTTTTTGAATTTTATGGCGTCATCAGAGCAACTTACATGTCTCTCTGCACCCTCTTGATGTCACGTGCTCTTACCATTATTCTTTGACTTTGACGATGAGAGAAAAAGAGGGCCCAGACAGGTCAGACTCTAACCATCCTACATTTTATGACGTCATCAAACTTTTTTTTTATGACGTCACTGGATTTTTTTTTCTTTTTCGGCTTTTTGATTATTCATCATAGGGAATGAGGTCCCAAGATTTTACCAAACTTGGTATTTTTTTAATGACGTCACTTCGAAGTTCTGAACGTCATTTTTTGAACTTTATGACGTCATAAGTCTCTCTGCACCCTCTCGTCTTTAAGTGCTATTTTCTTGTTTCTATGACCTTGTCTGTGAGGGAAAAGAGAGCGCAGACAGTTCGTTTCATAGTTTTACTTTTAATGACGTCATTTTCTCTCAATTTAATGACGTCATCACGGTATTTTTTCAGTCTAACGCATTTTTCTTCTGTTTTGGCTGTAGTTCTCTTGCAAATACTTTGAAAAACTATGATTTCTCTGCACCCTCTCGTCTTGGAGTGCTTTTTTCGTGTTTCTATTAGCTTCTCGGCAAGTGAAAAGAGAGCGCAGAAAGGTCAGACTATCTTGAAAACTCACAATCAAAACCCGAAGATTTTCCTCGATCTGGAACTTCTTGGCCAGGGTGTAGCGGCCGTCGTTGACGCGAAACGAGTTTATTTTCAAAATCAGCTGCTGATTACGGTGGTTCAGGACAGCAAACATCTGCAAAGAGTCGGAATTTGAGAAATTTGGGATTTTTTTTCATTTCAAAAATCAGAAAAAATATCCCGATTCTGATCAGATTTTGAAGAGACTCAATAAAGTATCATGTTTTTTTCTCTCCGATTTTCGGGTCTCAATTTTTTGAACTGACTGAGAAAACTCTAGTGGTCACTTAAGAGCTTCCTCAAGGACTACGTGGAGGGGACACTAAAGTGGCCACTAGAACCACTCCTATAGTGGCAGTTTTTTTTCCGTTTTAGTGGCCACTAAAGTAGTTGGGGTCTACAAAACGTCGAAACCCTTAAGTGGCCACTAGAACCACTTCTATAGAAGCCGCCATTTTTCGTCTTAGTGGCCACTAAAGCAGTTTTTTGTGGTCTAGGAGTAATATTAGACTTCTAAAGAGATCTTGTTTTCAGCCACTGTAGTGGTCACTAAAACGTCAAAACCTTAAAGTGACCACTAAGACCACTTCTTTAGAAGCCACTATTTTGCGTCTAATTGGCCACTGTAGTAGTCTTGAGTAGTCTAAATAGTGAACTTAGATTTCTAAAGAGTTTTTCTCAGTTTTTGTCACTGTAGTGTCCATTATTTTGACTACTATAGTGGCTCCTGAAACGTCAAAACCCTAAAGTGACCACTAAGACCCCTTTTTTTAAGCCACTATTTTTTGTCTTAGTGGCCACTGAAGTAGTTTCCAGGGATCTAGTAGTAATATTAGACTTCTAAAGGGGCCACTACACTTTAGTCACTTAAGTGGCCAATAATTCTACTACTATGGTAGTCACTACAATCTCAAAACCCTTGAGTGGCCTCTAGAACCAGCTCTATAGAAGCCACTATTTTTCTTCTTAAAGGCCTCAAAGTAGTTTTTAGTGGTCTTGTAGTAAACTTAGACTACTAAAGAGACCACTATTTCGACTACTATAGTGGCCACTACAATCTCAAAACCCTAAAGTGGTCACTGAAAATTTCCTTAGGAACCCAATTTTTGACATTTTTTGGATTTTTGATGATTTTTTCGACTTTTAACATTTTTTTTGAATTTTCAACAACTCACCATCGACGCCGCCGCATCAACAACAAAAGCAAATGCGACAATTTCGAGGATTCCAATAATGGAATCCCTAAGTGACCACTTCCATAGAAGAATTCTGCGTTTTAGTGGCCACTATAGTAGTTTTTAGTGGCCTAGTAGTACAATAAGACTTTTAAACAAGCCTCTAAGTTTTTGCCATTGAAGTGGCTAGTGATTCGACTACTATAGGGGCCACTAAAACGTCAAAACCCTAAAGTGCCCCCTTAAAAATTTCTTAGGACCCTGATTTTTAAGATTTTTAGGATTTTAAAAGATTTTTTTGAATTTTCCACAACTCACCATCGACGCCGCCGCATTAACAACAAAAGCAAAGGCGACAATTTCGAGAATTCCAATAATGGAATCCCTAAAGTGACCACTCCCATAGAAGAATTCTGCGTTTTAGTGGCCACTATAGTAGTTTTTAGTGGCCTAGTAGTACAATGAGACTTTTAAACAAGCCTCTAAGTTTTTGCCACTGAAGTGGCTAGTGATTCGACTACTATAGGGGCCACTACACTCTCAAAACCCTAAAGAGGTCACTGAAAACTTCCTTAGGACCCCAATTTTTGACATTTTTTGGATTTTTGATGATTTTTTTTTATTTTTTCACAACTCACCATCGACGCCGCCGCATTAACAACAAAAGCAAAGGCGACAATTTCGAGAATTCCAATAATGGTTAGAATTGCCGAAGCACTGACAATCGTGGCGAAAATCTGGCCGAAAACCAACGCCAGAATGGAAATGAACTTCCTCGGCTGGTTCTCGTAGTCTTTGACGAATTTAGTCGCCAAGGACCTTTCCACGACCAAATAAGGAAGGATCAGAGAGATCAGAACGATGAATCGGGTCCGTAGAAAACCGCCCAAAATTAGGGGGAAATATTGAGGGGACGATATTTGGAACTGGTTCGGCTTCATTTCTAGGGCTGAAAATTCCAAATTATCACCATATTTGGATTTTTAAAGGCGTGTAGTTCATTTTTATCTTCAGAAGTTCAAAAAAATTGAGCCAATTTTTGACTTTTTTTATGGTAGAAAAATTGACTTTTTATAGACGTGTATTCATTCATTGCTCACTCAAAATTATAACTTGGGCCAATTTTTTTGAGATAAAAAAATTTTTAAAAAAATTGTAGAAAATCCCTCAAAAAAATGACATCATTTAAAAAAACAACAACTTCAAGTCCGAAAATTTCCGGGATTATTGAATTTTTTTGAAAGTTCGTGAATTTTCAAAACTCAACGAACAAGATGAGTTTAAAAAAATCAAGAAATTTCAAAATTTTTGTGAAAAATTTTAGTTCATTAATCGCTATTTTACGTTTAGTATTACAAAAAAATCGGCCAAGTTTTATTATTCGAAAAAAAATTCAAAAAAATGAAAAAAATTTTTTTATAAGTCTCTTAACAGCTCTGAAAAAATGTAAGATTTCCTATTTTTTTAATTTTTCTTTCCAAAAACTACTGAAAAAGTCCAAAATCTACCGAAAAAAAGGAGTTTGTAGAATTTTTCGTAATTTTTCGTTAAAGCCTAAGAAAACCGATAAAATGGCTCATTTTGCAAGTTTTAATCCATTTTTTTTTTCGAGATGAGGAATTTTTTTCGGAGTGAAAAATGTCAGGAATTTATTAAGTACATCAAAAAGTAGTGTGAGCAGTGAAACGAATGATGAAATTTACCCCCTTTTTGGAAAACAAAAATCATTTATTTCGAAAAAATGGGTTATTTTGCAGATCTGAACTCTTATTTTCTTGTAGATCAAAGTGAACTCGTTGGGGTTCACACTGATCTGTGAATAAATTATTATTTTTTTTTCAGAAACGTGGCTCCAATTTTATTTGAGCTGGGAAAACTTCAAGTGGTCACTATAATGGTTAGCCAAAGGCGACTTAGAGAGGTCACTAAAGTGGCCACTAAACTCTATAACGGCCGCTATTTTCCGTTTTAGTGGCCGCTTCAGTAGTTTTTCATCCAGTATTCCTTCCAGTAACTCTGATAATTTCAAAACAAACAGATTGGACCAGTTATATTGATTCATTGACTCCTAAAGTGGCCACTTAGTGGTCACGTAGTAGCACTTAGACCTCTATAGTTGCCACTAATTGTTAACCCCTTAAGTGACCACTAATATTACTACTATAGTGGCCACCAAACGTTGAAACCCTACAGTGGTCACTAACAATTTTCCCCCTCGTTGGAAAAAAAACCTTAATTTTTAAAAATTTCGGCTTAAATCAGAAGAGAATCAGAAAAAAAGACTAACCGAAAAATGAGATCCATCCTTCTTGATACGGCATCAGAAGGATTTTCGATAACAATAATTCGAACCAATGGATTCCAATATAAACGTAGATTATTGTCATGTTCCAGTGATAAACTCGGTATTTCAAAGCGATTTTTAGGGATATCAGCTGCAAATTGGAAAATCAATAAGGACAATGCATTTTTGAACACTTTTTCTCAGGAAAATCATAATTTTTCCAAAAATTTGATCATTATTGTATCTTTAAAAGTAACTCACCACTACAAAAAAGCGATAAAAAAACATCGAAATAAACTCAAAAAAATGAGGAAAATCCTATAAATAAGGCTGTGAACGCCTTGATGAAAAAAATCGAGACCGGTATGTAGACTTTTTCCAAAGTTTTTCCACTTCACAGATCACGCCTGAAACTTTGAAAAAAATTTCCAAAAAATCATGTTTTTTTCGAGTTTTTCTCACAAAAATAAGCTTTTTTAGATTTTTTTCCACTTCTAAATTCACGCTTGAAATTTGAAAAATTATTCGAAAAAAATCATTGTTTTTTTCGGTTTTTTTCTAAAAAAATAAGCCTTTTTTTGGATTGTTTCACTTCACAAATCACGCCTGAAAATCGGAAATTATTCAAAAAAATCATTGTTTTTTTCGAGTTTTTTTCAATAATCATACTTTCTCGGGTTTTTCTTAAAAAAAATCGTTGTTTTTTAAAACTTTTTGAAAAAAATTAATTTTTTTCCATTTTTTTCAAAAAAATACACTTTTTCGAGTTTTTTTTCGAAAAATCATACTTTTTCCTGCATTTTTTTCAAAAATTTATACATTTTTCAAATTTTTTTCTTTAAAAAAATGACTTACCATTAGTGAAGGTCCGAAATTCTGACATCCGATTTTGAATTTGAACAAAAAATACCTGGAATCCTTTTTTTTCTGAAAAAGAAAGTTGCGAAATGAGCTTCCTAGTGCTTCACATGACATATAGGATGATAAAATTTAAAAAAATTGAGAAAATGACGGAATTTTTGACAAAAAAACCTTAAAAAAAAAGAAAAAAATCACGAAAAAAATCTGAATCAGCGGGGAAATTAAAGTTGTTTGAAGTTGAAAAAAACACGTTTTTCAAAGCTTTTAATCAAATTTTTAAACCTTTAAAAAAATTTAAAAAAATAAGCATAATCGATTCAAAAAGACTATTGAAAAAGTTTATTTTCGAAATCTGAGAAATATAGGAAAACTAGAGAATTTTTTTGATCAGCAGGTGGAAAAATTAAATCTGAGAAGGGGAAAAAAAGATGACATTTTTTTCGCAAATTTGAGTTTTTGGCCTCTCAAAAAGCTGTATATGGAAGGGAAGAGAACAAAGAAGAGCTGAAGAAAGTTGGGAAAAAAACATGAGATTTTGACATTTTCTTTGGAAAATTTTAGAGGGGGGGATTTTTGCAAGAAGGAAAATGACGGAATTTTTAATTTTTTTGGATGAGCTGAAACAATGAAGTTTTTGGGATAGAAAAGGCCTTTTTGAAGCTTTAATCTAATTTCAAACTGTCTGACTTGTCTCTGCTCTCTTTTCTATCATCATTTTTGTACAGGTCTCCCTCGAATAAAATTTAAAATAAGGGTCATTTTTTTCAAAAATAATGTCTGAATTTTTGATTAAAAAAATTTTTTTAGAAGCTCTCAGAAAAATGCGATTTTTCCAGCGTGTCCATAATTATGACGCACTCAAAAAGTGATATTTTTTTATTATCAAAAACGATTTTTTTCACTAGAATTTTTTTGATGCTAAAAAACCAAATCGAAACCAATTTTTTTCCATTTATTCTCAAAATTCAATTTTTTTTCACCTTAAAAATTGATTTGAAGTAATATCAAAAGAACCGAAAATAGGAAAAGGTTGAATAGATAAACTTTTGATAATAAATATATCCGGATCCGCCCGAGCTTCACTAATTTCCCTGAGTCAGCTTAATGCTTGAATAGACCAAAAAAGAAAAATTCGGAAAAAAAGATTTTATTCACCATGACGCCTTTCAACGTATTGAAATACACGTCGGATTGTTGCTTAATGCTCTGGTCGGTCATGGACGGAATCCGGACGATCGAATGTCGATTTCCCTCGAATTTCGGGTTGAAAAACGTGCAGAGAAGGTTGAAAGAAACCCGACGCCATTTTGGGGTCGCTATGATGCAAACCGGGTGGATCATCATCGGGTAGCTGAAAAATGGTTTTATTAGGAAAAAATGAGTCTGGAAAAAATACTTCCTAGCGGTTACTCTAAGTGCGCCCGACTTGAAACGGTTTACGCGCGATAGCATTAAAAAGCGGGAAAAAAGAGTTAGAACTGCTGAATTTGACTTTTTAAACGATCCCTAGAAAAATATGCGCGCCTGACCTGAAACAACTTGCGCTTACGACTCTCGTCGAAAAAAACTTCAACTGCACCTGACTTGAAACGGGTTACGCGCGATGTCATTGAAAAGCGGGATAAACGCCAAATTTCTCCTGTTACGCGGGTTTTAAAAGAAAAGTCGTTTCATTTTTAAGTCGCGAATTTTTCCGAAAACTTGCCAGAATATTCATTGATTTACCAGATTGAGGTCTCAACCTGAAAAAATTCCCATTTTTCGAGAAAGAACACCTCAAAGTCAGAGATAAGCCTCAAAATCGAGATCTTCCTCGTAAAATCCAGGAATTAGTAAAAATTTGGCGTTTTTTCCTGCTTTTCATTGCTACCGAGCGTGAACCGTTTCACGTCGGGTGCACTAAAAGTAACCGCTTAGCTGTTGTGGTGCTCGAGGAAAATTGAATCGGCGTTTTTTATTGATAATAGTCCGGAGCGCAAGTTGTTTTTGGTCGGGCACAATCTTTTTCAAGACATCGTACAAATAGCCGTTTTTTATTCTATTCTAATCCAAATTGAACAAAAACGGTCCAATGAACACTTTCATTTTGACTTGTTTGTTGAAAAACAATGAAAACTCACCAATAAACGAGTAATTCAATAAGGAGTTGATCGACGATTTTTGCCCCAGGTGGCAAAATTTCGAAGACAATCAAAAATGAGGCGGAAAATACGATGGCGCACACCGCCGCCGTCATTATTATCACGTATTTTATCGCCTGAAATTCGAAAAATTTTTGAGAAATTTCGAAGAATAATTAAATTTTCAAGCGTTAGAGACCCATTTAATTAGCGCCAAATTGATTTCTGACCGCGTTTGGAATGGCTCAACGCGATGCGGCCGCGTCGCGGTTTGATTAAGGGTTGAAAAAAGCCGTTTCTGGTCGGGCGCACTTTGAGCCATTCCCAAAGTCTTAAAGCTCAGGATCCCCTACCATAAAATTGGTTTTTGAAAATCCAATGCTCAAGTTTACATTGCCAAAACTAAAAATTCATGAAAAATCGAGATTTTTGAAAATTTAGCAGATAATTTTTTGGGTCTTTTTTGAATTTTCAATGAAACTGGGCTGAAATTCGCTTCAACACACTTTTTCATCTAGAAAAAGTAACTAATTTTTCGAATTTCGCGTTAAAAAAACACTCAAAAAAATTTCAAATAATGTAATTTTCATAGCTTATGTAATTTTTTTAGCAAACTTCAAAGTTTCATAACTTGATTATAAGGTGAAATTGGATCTTATCTAGTTTTTACCTGGATTTCGGAGAAAAACACCCTGTTTTTGAATTTGGAAATCAACCTTGACGCCACACGACTGAATGAAGTTTCAAAGGTCATTTGATTCAGATAAAGTAAAATTCAATTTTCTAAGCCAGTCAAAGAAAAAAGAAAATCCTGTGTTCTAACACGTAAGAAATATTTTATTCACTTTTGACTTGCCTCCAATTGTTAAAAAAATGAGCGAATTTTTGAGACACTTACTGAAAATGGGGCGAATTTGTGTGCTTAAGGGAGCACTTAAGAGGCGCTAAAGTTACTTAAATGATTGCTGAATGGTTCAAAAACATTTTCAAAGTTTGTCAAACACAAGAAGACACTTAAGTGAGTTCTGAGCGGTTCAAAAGAGTAACCAGAAAATTTTCAAACTGATGAGAACACTTTAGAAGCTCTAAATCCCCTTAAGTGGTTGCTTTTTTAAACTTTAGGGGTCCCTTAAGAGCAGGCTTGTGCGAGAGCCGGCCCGTCACCCTCCCGGCCCCCCGACCATTTTGTAAGCCCGGCCCGGCCCGACCTTAGAGGGCCTCAAGAAAAAATGGCCCGCCCGGCCCGAAGCGCGCAATTTTTTCTAGTCGGATATCAAGTTTTTTTACAAAAATTACGTTTTTTTGCTCATTTTTTTCACTTAAAGTTTAACAAAAAAACTATGATTTCAGAAGTAAAAAGTCACATTTTGGTGAAAACTTTTTAATTTGAAATTTGAAAGTTCGAAAAGTTTTTCATTTCCAAACTCACCTTCAAAACCCGTAGATTCTCCTCGATTTGGTACTTCTTGGTGAGAGTATATTTACGGTTTCCAATGGGGAAACTTTTCATGAAAAGCCTATCAGTCGATGGTTCCGGTAGGTCAAGTAGGGAAATAACTGAAAAAATAATCATTTTTTTTTGATTTTTCTTTCTTACAGGGAGGTCATTCACTTGGAAGATTGAAGATTTCATTTTTTTTATACTTCAAAAACGGGAGTTTCTTTAAACTGTCTGACGTGTCTTCGTTCTCTTTTCTCTCACTGACGAGGTCACAGAATCACTAAAATAGCGCCTAAGAACGAGAGTGCGCAGAGAAGTCAGACGGATTGAAAGAAAATCGTTCTAAAAATTATCTAATGACGTCATCAAAATGAAAAAAAGATAAACATAGAAAACTCCCATTGAAATCATTTTTTTAGTCTAGAAATTATTTAAAAGTTTTCTGACATGTCTGCGCCCTCTTCTCTTTCACCGAAAAGGCCACAGAAACTTGGAAAAAGGCTCCTAGACACGAGAGAGCGCAGAGAAGTCAGACATTTTCTAGTTTATCTCCAAGATTTGTTGGAAAAATGATAAAAATTCCAAACTTCCAAGTAAAAATGACCTTTTTCTGGGATTACCCACCAAAAAAGCTGTAGAATTTGCGAAAGCACATGCAGCCAGAATAGTGACAGAGCCCAAGAAAGACAAAATAGTCGAAAAAGCGGCGATGGTCGAGATGATTTCGACGAAAATGATAATGGCGATGGGGATATACTTCCGCGGGACGTGTTCGTAGTCCCTGACATTTTTGGTCGCCAACAATCTTTCCAGGATCAGGGAAGGCATCGCCAGACAACTGAGAAGAATGAATCGGGACCTTATGAAGCCTCCCAAGACCAGGGGAAAGTAGCGATGACAGTCCGATTCACAGATATTTCGGTTCTTTTCGGCGTCTGTAATCTTAGTTTCAATATTTCTTGGGAAAGTTTTGAAAAAGTCAATTTTTTCGGTTCTTTGTCGACATATGGAAACGGTAGTTTCAAAATTTTTTCGACAAATTATCAGGAAAACGTTTGAAAAGTGTGATTATTGCGGTTTTTAGACGTCTTTAAAAGTTAATTTCAATGTTTCTCCAAAAAAATTTATTAGGAATTGTCAATTTTTTTCGTTTTTTTCTCGACGAATGCATAAGTTAATTTCGATATTTTTTTCAAAAAAATTGACCGGGAAATTATTGTAAATTCCAATTATTTCGATACTTTTTCGATGTCTAGAAACGTTACTCGTTATTTTTTTCGAAAAAAAGTTCGAAAAATCGATTTTTACTTTTTTTAATTTTTTTAAACGTTATGTTCATTATTTTTTTCAAAATGAGTAGGAAATTGTTTGAGAAATACGGATTTTTCCGGTTTTTTCAATATCAGAATTAAATTCGCTATTTTTTCGAAAAAAAAAATTGCAAAATCAATTTTTTTTTTTTTGGTTTTTTAAACGTTAGCTTTATTCTTTTCTCAATAAATTACTTGGAAATTATTTGAAAATCCGAATTTTTTTCGGTTCTTATTGACATGTAGAAACATTAAGTTCGGTATTTCTCAATAAATTACTTTGAAATTATTTGAAAAAAATCGATTATTTCGGTTTTTTTCCGTAGTCGGGAAACGGTAATTTCGATATTTCTTGACCAAAAATTGACCAGGAATTTTTTTGAAAATTTCGATTTTTTTCGGTTTTTTTCTTGACTATCGCATGAGTTTTTTTCGATATTTAGTCAAAAAAATGGCCTTCAAATTTTTCTTAAAATCGATTTTTTTGATTTCTTTTTTTAATGTCTTAAAAAGTTTTATTTCGGTATATGTATCTTCTTAAAATGATCAAAAAAGTAAAAAATCCATAATAAGTTCGAAAATTTCGATACAAGAAGCTTTGAAAAATCCAGGCAGTTTTTTTTTTAAATTTTCTACGATTCCAATTAATTTAAATCTTAGTGAATTTCAATATTTAGCCACATATTTTTCCAAACTTTTGAAAAATTCGTTTGAAAATCCAACCTGAAATCTCGATCCAACCCTCTTGATATGGCATCAAAAACACCTTGGAGATCAATAATTCGAACCAATGGACGGAGAAGAAAATATATACGGCCAGCATATTTGTATGATATACTCTGTAGTTCAGAGCCAGGGCTATCGAAGATACCTGGAATTGAAAAAGTTATATTTTTTTACCTTGTTAGGAAGGGTTTGGACTTATAATGTTACTTTTAAATAAAGTTGGAATCACTAGGCTCACCAGTTTTTTGAGCAGATTCTGAAAAAAGGCTTGAAAATGCTTGCAAAATACTGAGAGAAAAGTTTTGACCATTAAAAGTTGAAAAAATAATGGTTTTGAAGGCCTTTTTTCATTTAAAATTATTCTTTTCACGTTTTTAGTTGTTTTTAAGATTTTTTTCGGACTTGTGAGTATATCAAAAATTTTTAAAACTCTTTTTTGTGGCTCGAATATTTTTCAAGGACCGGTATGACTTATATTTTGATCAAGACCATCGAAAATTAAGGGAACGTAATAATTTTTCTGACTTTGAGCTTTTATAAAGTTGTTTTCATACCACTTAGGCGGTGGTATGAAAAAAAACACCAGCGAAAATTCAAAAGGCGACTTTTCCAATTTTTTCGTATCGCTAGGGAATTTTCCGACGGCCACCTTTCCGACGGATCTCTTTCAGACTTTTTTTCCCTTTATGTTTTTTTCGGTTTATAAAACATCTGAAAATATTTTTTTCCTATTTTTCTTGTGTTTTTAATCATGAACCAACTACCTACATTATATAGGAAGATTTAAAACGAAGATTTTATCGAGAAAAAAAGTCGGAAAAAAAGATTCGTCGGAAATGTGGCCGTCGGAAAGTTTCCTAGTGATATGAAAAATTCGGAAAAGTCGCCGTTTGAATTTTCGCTGGTGTTTTTTTCATACCACCCTTAGGCTCTTTTTCATAAGAAATTAGGCTGAAAAACTTCCTCCATTGATATAAATTTCAATTTTAATTTAAAAATAAATAAAAATCCAGACTCACCACCACTAGAAAGGACAAAAACTATACAGAAAGTTTGAACAACAAAATAAATACTGTAGTAAAAAAACTGGCGGGACCGTGTCGGAAAAAAATGAGACCGGAACCCAGATATCTATCGACTTTGAAGCACTCAGATAAACTCCTAAAAAAATTATTTTTTTATAAAAAAAATTTCAAAATAATCTGACCAGTAAAAATATGAATTTTTTTGAAATTTTTCTTGTGATTTTTTTGACAGTTTTTTTGTCCAATTACCAAAAAAATGATAAATCTTGAAAATCTGTATTTTTTTGAAAAAAATGAAGTTTTGAATTTCGCCCCAAAGGCGAATCCGTGTACACAAATTTGCTTACCGTAATATTTTTTTCCATCAAAAAAAAATATTTTCGGCTGAAATTTGACAGCTGGAATCTAATATCACGCTTTCATGGAAAAAAATGTCATGAGAACAGAAAAAAAAAAAAACGGAAAAGGCTCATTTTTGTCCATAGAGCAACTTTGCTGTAAAATGAATTTTTTTTTGGCGGGACTTCAAACTTTTTTTCACGCTTTGAACCTATTTTTTTCTCAAGTTTTTGATGTTCAATTATCCAACACACACGGAAAAACTCTGAAAGACGGAAATAATTAATTAAATTTTAAAAAAATTTCCTTTTTTTCAAACGTAGGAGCTTTTTGTACAGTTATGAACAGAATAGAATTTTTGAAACGATTGAAATTTTCAAAAATGACCTTAATACTATATTTTTTATGACTTTTAGGACAAGAAGGATTATAAAAGAAAGAAGCAATAATATTCTCAATTTATTGACCATAAGCCTTTGAAAATAAATATCTAGTCTCACCTCCAGAAGGGCAGTAAAAATCGGACATTTTTAAAGAATAGACACGTCTGACTGGGCAGGTGCACTCTGAAAGTTGCGATTTTATCAACCAACAGGTGCTGTTTTCTGATGCGTGTAATCGTGTTGGGCTTTTTGAAGTTTCAGAAAAAAAAATATCTAAAAAAGTTATGTGTAATTTTGATGTTTGTATGTGACGGATAGATGAAGAAGATTATATGTTTTAAAAAAAACGGGGTAGGTGGTCAGGAAAAGATCAAAAAAAAAAGCTATTTTGGATGCAAAGATAATTTTTCAGGAAGGGAAGTCGTAGAAAATGGAATAATTTACAATAGGAAATCAAAGCAAAAAGAGCAAAAATGAAAATGCGGGGGAGGGGAACCGAACTCGCAAGGCTAGAATGCTAGTCGAGGGGTTTGGAGCTGCGCTATGAAGGCAGGAACCGCGGGGGAGGCCAAGTTGGCATATAGCACATACTGCAGATGAATCATTGAGCTTCTTATCGAAAAAGGTAGCAAAAGAATGGCAAAAAGATCGAATGGCGGGGGCTGGGATCGAACTCGCAAGCCTCAATTGAAAGACGAGACATCTTTCACTGCGCCATAACGCCAAGAAAGTAGTAAAAAGCATCAAAACTATGAGATTTCAAAAAAAAAGTGGGAAAATTTAAGTTTTTTATTTACTTTGAGGCCGAACAAATCAGGTTACTTAAAAGACCAGTAAATGGACAATTTAATAAAGAATCGGCCGAAAATCTCGATGACCATGAAAACATGAGTCGGAAACACAAGAAAGCCACGCATTTGATCGTTTCAAGTTTTTTTATTTCCAAGAAAAAAAATAATGTTGCAAACGCTATAATTAAAATAAACTTGATTTCCAGCTCTATTTGCAAAAACTGGACTTCAATCTTTGTGAAATTCCTCACGGACTTTGTTAACTATTAATAATATAACATTGGGATCACGTTTTTGGTGGGCTGTGTGAGAAAATACATTTTTGCAGTGGGAAATGACGCTTTTTTTGATTCTGCATAGAAGATTTACTGTAAGAAAATGATTAATTTTGAGAAAATCTACAGAAAAATCTGTTTTTCGCTTGATTTTGAGGAGTTTTGGAGGAATTTCGTACTGAAAATTGGTAAAAAAAAAAGGTTTTTCTGATTCTCAAAATCCATTGAAACCCTATCCTTCTCATCATAACTCAATTTGAACAATTTTTTTAAAAATGAAAAAAATCGCTGAAAAAGTGATCGAGGACGGCAGCATAAGCATGTGGAATTTTTTTCACTTTCATTTTTTTAAGACTTTTTTTGTGGAGTTTCGTACTAAAAACTCCATCGAGTTTTTTAGTACGAAACTCCAAAAAAACGAGTTTTTTTATGGAAACTATGATTTTTTTAATCAAAACTCAGTTCAAATCAAGTTTTTCAAAAAAATCAAAAAAATTCTTTTGAAAAAAATAGAGGAAGGAAAAACATCAGTATAACCATGTAGATTTTTTTAAAAAAACGAAAGTTTTTTTGATTTTTAAATGCCCCCCCCTATCGCAACCCATTTCATGTTTAAAAAAACTTGGAACCCTTTTTTTAAGTAAAAAGAAGATTTTATCGATTTTTGAGAGGTTTTGAGGGGTTCCATCGGATTTTTTTGACTATAAAGGTCGATAGCAGCAACAAATTTGATCAAGATTTTTTTCAAAAAAATCGGAAATCGTTAAAAAAATGAAGGAGAACAGCAAAATAACCATGTAGATTTTTCGAATAAACAAAAAAATTTTTTTCGATTTATCAGAAAAATTTTTCTTTTTTTAACAACCGTTTTGTAAACTTGGAAAAACCTGAAAACTCCCTTTTTTTAATCAAAATAACAACTCGAAAAAAACATTTATTCACCAAGAAGCTTTCAAAGATTGGAAGTGCATCTCGGTGAGTTCCTGGAAACTGAGATCGCTTTTCGTCGGAATTATAACGTTTGAATATCCGGTCTGTATGTTGATAAAGCCAAAGACGGAGTTCAAAAAGACCCGACGCCATTTTTGAGTCGCCAAAATGCAAGCCGAGTTGAAAATCATTGGATAGCTGAAATTTTGAGCGATTTTTGTTGGATTTTTGAAGTTTTTTTAAGAATAGGAAGCGTAGAAAGGTTTTTTGTAGTGATATATAAAGTTTAAAAGATTGAGAAAAGTCCAAATCTTATCAAAATTGACTCGAAACTCCTATTTCAAGCTTTTCCTTTTCAAAAAAAAAGTCCTTACCAGTGCAATAACTCGATAAAAAGCTGAAAAACGATCTTCGCTCCCGGGGGAAGAATTTCGGCGATTATAAGGTAGAAAATAAAAAGTACGATGGCGCAGAAAAGCCCTCCAACCAGTACTACGTATTTTATCGCCTTAAAAAAATTTATGTGAAAATTTTAATTATAATTAGGTTTTTTTAATTTTTTTGTGAGGCGGTTAATAACGAATTGTTATCAAAAAAATTGGAAGAAAGGATATCTTTTAAATAATAGAGTTTGAAACAGCAAAAAGGGGTTTTTCATGTTCAGAAGTTTTTTAATTTTTTTCCCACGCCAAAAAAAAACTGCGTACTGGGAAAACTTTTAGTGGCCACTGTAGAGGCTCGTTAAGAACTACTTGGACAAGACACTAAAGTGGTCACTAAACCCACCTCTATAGTGGCCACTTCAGTAGTTTTTCATCCAGTTTTCCTTCCAGTAACTCTGATAATTTTACAACAAACAGATTGGACCAGTTATGTTGATCGATTGACCCCTAAAGTGGCCACTTAGTGGTCTAGTAGTAGCATTTAGACCTCTATAGTGGCCACTAACTTTTAACCCCTTGAGTAGCCACTAAAAATTCAAAACCCTATAGTGGCCACTAGAAATTTTCCCAGTGATCTAAAATTATTCAAAAAATCGTAATGCTTTAGAAAATGGTTTATTCAAACTCAAATAGTCATTATAATGACTATTATTAAAATTCAGAACTTTCCCCATCACAAAATTGAACTAACTAACCATGAGAACTCGAAGATTTTCCTTGATTTGACACTTTTTGGAAATTGTGTACTTTCGAAGTCCAATGGGGAACTTGTTCAAGTGCTGGATCATTTTCCGGTTTCGAAAAGTGATGAAAAAAAACATCTGGAATGAAAATGACATTTAAAACAGAGTATACTTTCCGGTTTTTTAAATAGTCGGTGGGGAATTTTTCCGGAAAAAGCCTTTTTTTTGGGATTCAGAAATTTTCAAATCGACAATTTTCTAGTAAGTTGGGCAACATTGAGTTACGGTGACTCAAGAGATTACGGTAGAAAAAAAAATACAAAATTTAATATCTCGATAAAAAATCAACAAATCTCAACCGAACTTTTTCCCAGGGTGTAAAATATTGCTCTTCAGTTTAATGATAAGAAAGCTCATGTTTCCTCATTATTGCTCATGTTAACAACTTTTTCAAAATTTTCGATTTTGAGCTTCTTGTTCTCAAAAATTAGGAATTTTTGCGGGTTGAGAGCTTCAGGATCTTCATTAGGAACGTCAAGGAAAAATCTGGCTAATTTTCATTAAAATTCCCTCCCTACTTGGAACTCACCAAAAGTGCCGAGGAGTTGACGAAAAATGAAAATATAAGAATCGCCAGACTTCCAAAATCACTAAAAATCGCTGCGAGAGCCGAAAAAATCGAGAAAAGTTCGACGAAAACGATAATTGCAGTTGGAATGTACTTGCGGGCGACGTGATCGTAGTTTCCGACGTATTTCGTGGCCAGGAATCGTTCCAGAACCATCGAGGGCATGCTCAGAGTGATGAGGACGGCGAATCGACTTCGGAGGAAGCCTCCGATGATTAGAGGTAAGTAGTGGAGTCCAGTAAGGCGAGGAGTTGAGGATGAAGCTTCGAGATCTGTGGAAAAAGTCGATATCGACAAAAAAAAACTTGAAGGTTAAAATGAATGGAGCCCCTGGAACATTAAATTTGTATGCTTCAATAAGGAACTCCAGAGTGGTCCCTATAGGGGCAACCTTGAAGCCCTTGCTCCCCCTGAGTGGCCACTTCAGTAGTTTTTCATCCAGTATTCCTTCCAGTAACTCTGATAATTTCAAAACAAAAATATTGGACCAGTTATTTTGATCCATTGACCCCCATAGTGGCCACTAACTTTTAACCGCTTAAGTGGCAACTAATATGACTACTACAGTTGCCACTAAAACTTCAAAACCCTATAGTGGCCGCTAAAAATTTTCCCAGATAGGATTTCTATGCTCTATTCCATCCAAAAACTGACCAGGAATTGGTATCCAACCCTCCAAATAAGGCAAAAAAATAACAATTTTTGACAATAAAACCTCGAACCAATGAACCGAAAAAAATATATAGAGAATTATCATATTTATATGATAAACTCGGTACTTGCAAGCTATCGAAATCGTTGAAACCTGTAATTTTTCCTTTTTTTGATTTACAGCGTTGAAAAACTTACCACTATGACAGCAGAAATCGCGACAGTGACAACGTGGAAAAATAAATAAATTGAATAGGAAATATTTGCGGGACCTTTTCGGTAGAAAGAGAAAGGTATCCAGATGTCTAGGGTATCCGAAACATGGTAGAAAACTCCTGAGAAAAAATATTATCCAAAAAAGAGCTAAATTTAAAGTCAAACCTTTTGGAAACGATCGAAATTCGGACATTTTCCGAAGTAAAGTCTTCGAAAGTTTTTCAAAACCTGCAATTTTAAAGTAAATTACATGTTATTGAACATTAGTAACGACTTAGCAGCCAAATTTGAATCAAAGATCGAAAAAATAGCCTCGGGAAAGAAGTTCAAGGTGCAAGGGAACGCTTAATGATAGGCAGCGACGCAAGCCGCTCAAGGTCGGGGGCAAGCAAACAGGGGGAGAAATTGCCGTCGCGGCGCGGGCGGCCGTGACGATGATATATCCGTGTTTCTGAAGTCACTTGACGAATGATACTTCTGAGCCCAATTTTTGTACTTTGATGTCACTTGACGTTGATACATTTTTGCGAATGACGTACGCTTTTAGAGTGCGAACACTTTTAAAAAGATCAGTTTTGGTCAGTTTCGGTTTCATTTTTCAATCGGTGAGGTTTCTAGGTACCCGTAAATAAATAATTATCGATATTAACAAATATAATAATATTAAATAGTTGAATCAAAAAAATAATTTTTTTCCTTATACCAGAATTTTTAATTGGCAAAAAAACCTAATTTTGAACGATTTGAACCTTTTTTTCAGTGGTAAACTTTTTATTTTGAGAGCACTATAAAATAAAATAAAAAAAGTTGGATGGATAAGAGTTCAAAAAAAAATAGAATATGAAAGCTAAACTTGTACAATTTCGAAGGATTTAGAAGCATTTGAATATAAAAAATGGTTTTTTTCACACGTTTATTGGAAGGAAAACTCAAGCATGGGAAAATTTCCTAAACATTCATACTTCCATATGAAAATATTCCCTTCTAAGCTTGCGTAATGGCCTCAAAAAAGCAGGAAAAAAAAGTAAATGAATCAGATTTTCCCCCAAAAACACTTTTCGATGTCAAAAACAAGTGGAACCGCAAATTTGCGGCCATTTTCTGAAATTATTGTTTTCAAACATCTCTTCCAAGAATCTGTGATCTCTTATTTTTAAAAAAATGATAAGGAAATTATGGTGGGAAGCAAAAAAATTTTTGGCTTAAAAAACGCTAGAACTTTTTAAAAAAAGTTCCGAAAAGAGTTCGAATTTTGACAAAAAAATTATTTCAGGGAATTTTTTTCTTAAGGCAAAGATTACATAGTAGATGACTGAAATCTTTCTAAATTAAAAAAATTTTTGTTCGGAGAAAGATGAAAAATGAAAGAAAAAATGATAGGGTTTGTCCGGTTTCTACTGTGAAAATCAAGAAAATCGCACTAAAATCGATTTTTTGAATTTTGCGACTCTTTTCAAAGATGATATAAAAAGAATCGAATGGAAATATTTCTTCCTATCAACAGCAAAAATTAATTTACGTTGAAGGGATCCGAACCAGTGACCCTTTCAACGATAGTCGAAGACAATTGCGTTGCGCTATGCCTGCGAGCTAACCAGTTAACCGTAAGCTTCGGTAGACTTTTCATGATGATTCTAGAAGTATTTTGTGTAGATATTTCGTTTTCTTATTTTTTGTGTTCAAAAAGTCAATCACCGGTTGCAAAATTTAGTGTAAAAATGTTAGAAAAGTCGAAAATTTCCACTTTTATTTGCTAAATCGCACGGAATTCTGTTATTTCCTTTCGAAAATGGAGAGTTAAATTCAGAAAAGTGAAAAATGAGAAGAAAAAATCGATAAATGACTCGGGAAAAAAAAAATTTTTTTTCAAGAAAAGCAAAAAAAAATTCACTTTGCGAGGATTCGAACCTGTGACCTCTGGAGCAATAGTTAGGCGCACAGGCACTGCGCCAATCTTGCAAGTTCAAATAAATGCAGCCAGTGTCATACTTGTTGAACGGTCCACGAGATTAACACACTGGATTCCGAGAAACATCAAGCGCCCACTCGGGCGCCCACCGACCAGATGGACGGACTACTTCCGCAAGAACATCAGTCAGCCAGGCCGCCACTGGATGACCGTCGCGCAAGACCGAGCCGCCTGGAGAACGTGTGGTCCACGCTGAGAACATCAGCGAAGATGGACCATCAAAGTATCAAAGTAAGTAAGTAAGTAAGTGTCATACTTGATTGGAGCGTAATGTGGGTCAAATTTTTTTGAAAAATAATGCAATATTTATTCTAATTTCGAAATAACCGATACCCGTAACGAAAATAACAAATAATTATGCTAATTTCCATAAAAAAACTGAAAGTCCTGGTTTTTGAGCGGCGTTTTTCTCTGTACACATCAAAGTTGCCGCCTGAAATCATAACAATTCATATCATTTTATAAATTTTGTTTAAATACCCTCGATCGAACTTCTTCCTCGATATTCTCAACGTTTTCGGCGACCGATTTTTGCTTAAGTTCTGGTAGATTTCTGAAATAATTCATGATAATTGATTGATTAATCAAGAGGAAAATACCTGTACAGGTAGTAGAAGACTGGAGACTGAGCTAGGGCGAACAAAATGAACATTCCGGGCGAGAAAAGACGAAAAACGACCGGGAAAATCGTGCTTATTGGGGTACCCAGAACGTAGGGAAGCAGTAAAGTTATCTAAATTTTTTTTTGTTTCAAGGTGATTTCAAAGAATTTGAAACCTTGGCAACGGAGATTTGAGCCGCTTGGGGCACGGTTTCGGACAAAATCAACGTTGGTAGGGTCATTAAACTGCAGGCGGAAGCTAATAAAGTGACAAAATGTGAGGCGAAACCTGCAATATTTTCAGAATTGATTCAGAACTCTTTTTCGTAGACGAATTTGAGGGAAAAGCTGAAGGGAGTTCCGAAAATTTGGCTCTTTTCGTTTGTTTTCTCGTCTTTTTGTTACAAAAGTGACGAATTTTCGCGAAATCGGAGTTTCGGGACCCTTTAGAAAAATTGGGTCCTACAACGAAACGGTAAGGTTTACACGTAAATCCGTAATTTACGTTGGAAATTTTTTAAATAACTTAAAAATTTCAAGTTTCGCGCGTAAAGTCGTTATATCGTTGCAGGACCCAATTAATTTAACAACCCCGAAATCTCAATTTCGCGTATGTCGTGAAATAATTTTGAGCGAATTTTGAAACTGCCGAAATTATTTTTCAATATGGCTCATGATATCCAGAAATAGTCCGTTTTTGACGATTTGAGAATGCTTTTTTTCTCTGCATCTCTCACATTGCTGTGCTATTCCTATTTTTCCATGACCTCACTGGCGAGGGAACAGAGAGACGCAGACACGAGAAAACTTCCAAGTCGCGGTGAATGGACTATAGTAGCCATTTTTACGAATTTTTGGCATTTTATTCAAAACTTCTTGCAAAATATGATAACTAGGTTCATTAAAAAGTCATATAGATCCAATGTATACAAAAATATCCATAGAATTACCAACCTGCAACCCAAGAAACCATAGAAGGTTCATCGAAATACACGATGCACAGACCGATGATCAGAAGGACGGTTTTTGAATATCTGAATTTTTTTTTTCAATGAGAAATTTTGGAATTCGTAATTTCGTTATTATGAGAATTAGGTAAAAATTCAGAAATATAACCAGGGATTAACTCGGGGCAGTACTGTAATGAACAGGGAATCATCAAGTTTTTTAGAAAACATCAAAAATTCTAATGGAAAAATGAGCTTTTGTGAACATTTCGTAGTGAAATTCTATGAGAAAGGATTTTAAAGTTGATTTTTTTGAGTCTATCTTGGAAAATCTCATCTCATCTAAAGTTAGGGGAATGGCTAGAAGCGTTTTTCTAAAGTGCGCCCGACCTAAAACGACTTGCGCTAAATGACAGTAAGAAGTGATTATAAAGTCTCCTAAGGCCTTTTTTGGACCGCAACGCGTCAAGCCATTCCATTTGCGACCTTAAGCATAAAACTCACGCGAAAAACGCGGCGACTCCAACGATCGGCCTTCTTCCGATTTTATCAATCGCCAACGAACCGGCGAAATGAAGTAGGAGACTTGCCAAAAATGCAACACTGCTGATATAATTTATCTGAAATTTTCATCTTCTAATTGTCCCTTAAGGGATAACTCACCATTTCGAGTGACATTCCAAGTTCAAGATAAATGACTTGAGAAAAGGAAGTTTCGACGGAAAATGGGCTCAATGTCATCAGTAATGCCACGGAGATCACCAAGAAAACCGACTGAAAATTGATTTTTTTTTTAAAGATTATTGCGATAGATACGTAGTTTTTCGCGTTTGTGACGTCATTTTCTCAGTCTTATGACGTCATTCTTCACTTTTTGGTGTCATTTTCTGCACTTTTTGACGTTAATTTCTTCATTTTATGACGTCATTCTACAATTTTATGACGTCATCCCTCAATATTATGACGTCATTATTTCAATTTCATGACGTCATTTCTCAACTTTATAACGTCATTCCTTAGGTTTGTGACGTCATTCTTCAATTTCATGACGTCATTTCTCAACTTTATAACGTCATTCCTCAATTTTATGACGTCATTCTTCAATTTCATGACGTCATTACTCCTTTTTCATGACGTCATTGCTCGTTTTTCATGACGTCATTCCTCTTTTTAATGACGTCATTCCTCTTTTTAATGACGTCATTCCTCTTTTATGACGTCATTATCTTCACTTTCTCGACGTCATTATTTTAATTTTTTGACGTCACTTATAAATTTCAGGACGTCATCTCACCATTCTGACGGCAGGATCGCTCATAACTTCTGGAATCGTCATGGTTTCTTCTCCTTTCTTCAGCTGCAAGACATCCCTCTCTTTGAGGTACGACTTTAGGGTTTTCTCTGAATTTTTCCGTTTAGGAAATTACTGTATTTTCTAATACCGTAATCCTCGTCGCCATGATAGAATTGAATGGATCGGA